TGCCTTTTAAACTGCAACGGTTCAAGGGTTGAAACATTTAATGGGATTTTCTTGATTTAGGCCACAGTTAGTAATCTATTATAAATATGCAAAATATTGGAATAGCAATTTGGGCATATCATTATAACAAACGTGGGTCATAAATAGTTGTTGCCCAGTTTGTTCTTTGTTAACGAGAATGCTAAAGAAATGGACTAGTATAGACACCATGTGACATTATTTGCACAGGATAACTGTCCATATAGTTAACTCAGGGTTGTTAGTCTGATGCTTTACCACTTCACGAGGCATTTATTCACACAGCCCATGCATTAGTTTTGAGTTTTGCTTTTAGTTTTAGCTTGGTTATTAGGTTCATGCAACAATTAGTTTACCATTTCTAGTTCTCTTATTCTTCAACAAATTACATGAACTATGCTCTAGGTTTGCACTTATTACACTCTGCTTGTGGTATGAAAATTTCCAATCGACCTCAATAAACTAATGTGGTCAAATGACAAAGTTGAGAGAAACTGTCCAATGACCATTTTACCCTTTGAATGCCAAAAACTCAAAACCCAAAGTTCAAATGCAAACCACCGAGATCGCAACATAAAACCCAATCCAATAGGGATTGACGTGGAGCCCTATTGATGAGGGTAAATCGAGGTGGTTGGAAAGGTCGTTTGAGGTAAAAGAGGTGAGGAATGTGGTAGAGATAAGGCTCTACGTCTAGATGGTTTTAGTTTAGCTTTTATCAAGATTGTTGGAATGTTGTCAAAGAGGATTTAATGAGGGTTTTCAATGAGTTCTTTCAAAATGGAGTGGTGAATGCAATAACTAACTCGACTTTTATTTATTTACTCCCAAAGATGGATTAGTCTTTGCAATTGAAGGATTTTCGACAATTAGTTTGGTGTCTAGCCTGTATAAGATCATTGCAAAAGTTTTATTTATAAGATTAAGGGAGGTTCTTCGTGAGAGTATTTCTGAATGTCAGGGGATTTTTGTGCAAGGTAAACAAATTCTTGATGTTGCTTTGATGGCTAATGGGTGGTTGAAGATTATAGAGATAGAGGAAATGAAGGTTTTATTTGTAAGATTGATTTTGAGAAGGCCTATGACCATATGAATTGAGAATTTTTAGATTATGTCATGAAGTGAAAGGATTTGGTGGAAGATGGAGAAGGTGGATTTTAGGATGTTTGAATTTTTTGAATTTCTCAATCATGATTAATGGGAAGCCTAAGGGTATTTTAAAGCAACTAGAGGTTTGAGACAGGGTGACTCATTATCACCATTTATTTTTATTTTAGTTGCTGATGTATTAAAAAGATTAGTGAGAGGACGGAGGGCTGTAATCTTGTTGAAGGATTTTAAGTGGGAAGGGATAGGATAGCAATATCACATTTGCAGTTTGTTGATGATACAAAATTCTTTTGTGGGGGTGATGAGGAAAAAAATATCCAGTTATGTAATTGGATATTCATTAAGTGGAAAAAATATTTTTTATTTTCTTATAAATTTTTAATACTAAAGATTAAATTGGATTATATTTACATTCATATAATATTTGTATTCGTTGTGTTGGGATCAAATGCATTTATCAAATTTATAATTTATTGATACATCTTTACTATTGTTGTTTTTATTTTAAAATAATTAAATTAAATACTAGTGTGGTCAAAATAATTTTAATAACATTATCGGTATCGCTCTCACAATTCTTTTTCCCATTGTTTAACGTGTTAAATGATGTATTTCTAGGATATAATGTATGGATGATGATAGTTATATTTTTTAAGAAATTTGCATGATTTTTTCAAAAATTTTTGGACTCTCTATCCAGTGATTTGAGCTTATCGGCCAATGGCCACACCACGCCACAACATTGTGACCGATGTGTCTCAATACCCTCTGAGTCGATGATCGATACCGTCACCTTGAACCATGGAAGACACCCTATATACAGATCTTCATCCTTTGCAGCATATGAAGCCGTGTATTAGCCCCCCAACAGGATCTCTAAAACTAGGCCATTCCTTTCAAGAGCTACTTCAAGGATTCAATTTATCCAACCATCTGATCAAGATCAAAACTTGGTTTCATTTTCACTGAAACAACCTCTAAAAACCGAAACGCATTAGTAATTGAAGATCGAAAATTCTAATCTTTTGGAGTGTTTCCTGATAATTCTTGTATGGTGTTACAGTGGTTTTTTCCCTTTGCTTAGACTTGCTGGTTTAAGTTTTTTCGATTTCTATATTCATTTGATGTTGAGGTTGAGTTAAGATGATTGGGTTTTGTACATGATCACAAAGTGTTCGTAGTTTTGCTTCAATGAAAAAAAATTCATCGCATGGTTCAAGGTTGCTAAGTCCTATTACTTTAGCAAAAGGCTGATTCGGAACAATTGGTAGGTACTGGCCGAGTGTTTTGCTTCTGGAACATGTTGTGATAGTTGTAGCTACATAGATCGTCAAGATAACATTGAGAATAAGCCTCCAAGGGAAGCTGTTGTTGAATGGTCCATAGAGCATAATCCAAATGCATTCAGGCCAACAAAGATTGTTGGTAGTCCACACTACAAATGCATGAGAGTTTCATTACAAGGCTTTGTGTCAAAAGGTTTGCTATTGGTTGCAGTTTTTTGACATTTTTGCNATAAGCCTCCAAGGGAAGCTGTTGTTGAATGGTCCATAGAGCATAATCCAAATGCATTCAGGCCAACAAAGATTGTTGGTAGTCCACACTACAAATGCATGAGAGTTTCATTACAAGGCTTTGTGTTAAAGAGGTTTGCTATTGGTTGCAGTTTTTTGACATTTTTGCTTTGTCTAATCTTTTTGTTCCTTTGCCAAATGGATGTTTGCTGGCAGCTAGAGATGTTAGGATTGCTGCTGGCAGTTTTTGGCCTAATTGCAATCAATATAGTTTCACGTAGATTCATTTAGTTTTGTTTTGGGATTAATTCCGAAATTTCCTAATTTGGTGCTAAGATTAACCCATCCATTACGAAATGGGGATTTTGAATTTTTTTGAGATTGGGTTATGAATTGGAGTTTATTGATTTGGGTGACCAATGATAGTTGGCATTTTTGTGTTTCAGTTTGTGTTGTGTGTTTGTGTGTGTGCTCATGCAGAGAAAATGAGGAAGGAAAATGTGTGTGTGACAGGTGGTGTGAGAGAAACATGATGAAGAAGGGGATGGAGGAGGAGGATGGAAGGGCATAAACATGGTCAGAAATTTGCAAGGATGCAGCTGGAGTAGCAGGTGTATACACCTCTCTCAACTGTGTGGGTGTGTGTGTCTGCCTTTTTTTCTAGGATAATTATCATTGACACCACATCTTATCTAGACATATTTTTAATGAGATCCCTTATGTTTTTTGAATTTTTTTATGTATTAAAATTCGGGTGGATTAAAATTCGATTCGAGCTAATGAAATTTCATTTTTACGCATTAAAATTTGAGCCGATTAAAATTTGATTCGAGTTGATTAAAATTTATTTTTAATCAGCTCGAATAAAATTTTAATCAACTCAAATTGAATTTTAAATGGTCTGAATTTTGATATATAAAAAAATATAAATTTTAATACGTAAAAAACGAATTTTAATTAGTTTATATCAAATTTTAATTGGCTTGAATTTTAATACTTAAAAAAATATAAATTTTAATTGATTTGAATCGAATTTTAAGCGGCACTAGCAAGCTTAGATTGTGCTCGAATTGGCTTGAATTTTAATATTTTTAAAAAATTAAAATTTATTTCCCTTGAATTGAATTTTAATCGAATCAAATTTTAACAGGTAAAAATAAATTTTGATTAGTTCGAATTTTAATATGTAAAAAACTAAATTTTATTACATGTTATGTTTTTTAGACAGTGTAACGTGTCTAATACGTTATCATTCCGTAAAAAATTTAACAGTTTATTCATGTAAGGGTCAAAATGACACGAATTGAATATTTTAAAAACTAAATTGAGAAAAAATACATACTTTAAGGAAGAATAGTGCCATTAACCCCTCCCCCCCTCTCTCTCTCTCTCTCGCTCTCGCCACTGAACATTTGCTTGGTAATTTTTTTTTTGTCAAAAAGATTTAACAGAATGGAGTCGAAAAGAATACAAAAAAAAAAAAATGAAGGGAAAGCAAACTGCATTGAAAAAATAGGGGCCCACACGTGTTCATAAATTGTGAGAAATAAAAAGGAAAGCAACTGCTTTCCAGTGCGGTAGGGAAGGGGGTTTGGAAATAGTTGTGCTTTCAAAGGAAATTTTGCCAATTTCTCTTAAACAATAACATAATTTTTTTTGGTCATATTTTTTTTAGCTGATAATATCTATATAATAAAGTACAATACAATTCAAATCTCAAAAAATAAATAAAATAATTTTTACTTTTCGCGGTTGAAATATCTTTAAATTTTACTTTAAATTAATACGACGGTTAATATTAACACCCTAATTTTAATAGGAAAAATAGGTCTTTAAATGTGTGTTTGAAGTGATTTTTTAAAAGTGTTTTTAGGACTTATTTCTCATAAGTATTTTAAAAAAAAATAGTATTTGGAACTGTCGCACCGTCACCTCTACTACCACCACCCCACCACAATCACCACTACCACCACCACCGCCACCACAATTATCCCCTCCACCACCCCCACCACCACTACCTCCACCTCCATTGCCATGGCCCCACCGCCACCATCACCACCTCCATCGTCCCACTACCACCATTCCCACCACCACCAACATCACCACTATTGCTGCACTTTACCCCCACCGCCATTGTCCCACCTTCACCGTCCCACCACCACCCCCCAAGATCATAATGAGTTGGAATTCAAATGGAATCATGACATTGAAGATTCTCAAAATGAAAGGCTACAAGTCAGTGTACTTGACATGCTACGTTCGCATAGAGGATTAAAGAATCTTAAAATTGAGTTATACAGGGGCATCACATTTCCTAGTTGGATTGGGGATCCGTCATTCTCTAAAACAGTGTACATTAGTCTCAGGTTGTACAAAATGCATCTATTTACCATCACTTGGCCAACTACCATTGCTCAAAGAACTATACATAAAAGACATGCATGCAGTAAAAAGGGTGGGTGCAGAATTCTATTGCAGTGGTAGCACTCTGGAGATTCCATTTCCATCACTCGAGATTCTACTGTTTGACAAGATGCTAGAATGGGAGGAATGGTCTTTTTCCTATGATGTTGATTTTAGAGGACTTTTCCCCTGCTTTCGTGAGCTTACTATATGCAATTGTCCTAAACTAGTGAGTGTTCCACTCTTAAGACTTCTCTCTCTTCTCAAGTTAGAGATAGAAAATTGTGATGAGGTGGTGTTGACAAGTTTTACCCAATTGCCGTCATTAAGCAGATTGAAAATTAAGAATATTTCGGGAATAACTCATCTGCAAACAAAATTCAGGAATGGGTTGGTGTCACTTGAAGATTTGGAACTTTGGAATTGTGTCACGTTGGTAACTTTGTGGCAGAATGGGATTACACCAGAAAATCTTTCCCGTTGCAAACGCCTAGCGATCTTGCATTGTCCTCTACTTGTGCAACTGTTGGAAGAAGACCAAAGGCTACCTTGTAATCTTGAACGTTTGGAAGTATGCTTCTGTGAAAATCTAGAGAGATTGCCTTTTGGCCTGGAAAGCCATACATCTCTCAAGAAGGTGGATGTCTTTAAGTGCCCAAAGCTAGTCTTTCTTCCGGGGCCGTCTCCCGTCCATGCTTACACATCTTTCCGTTCAATATGCTGATTCTTTGGAGTCCATCCCTAATTCCATCGCTTGTCTTGAAGATTTGGGGTTCCGAAACTGCTCGTCTTTGAGATCTGGGGTCATATTTTGTTAGTGTAATCTGGCCAATTGAAAGCAAACTAATACTCATTTTGATATGTGTTCACCTGTTGTTCAGTATGCCCCTAAACTTCCTTATTTTTTCTGGTGTTTGCAGCTGGTGAAGATGCCTCTTTTAAGGAGCAACTTTCTTATGTGCCAGCCACAGATGATTTTGGTTTGAATTGTGCTTGTTAAATATTTGCTTGCCATCTTTTTTTTTTCTCTTTATATTTTGTATTTTCTTGTATTATATTATTGTCTAAGAGTGCACTAATTGCTTGTAATTTGTTCAAGGGTATGTAACTGCCCACTTTTTTTTTTTCTCTTTCTGTTTTTTTTTGTTTTTTTGGGTAAGTTTCCAACTTGATGTTGTAAATGAATGGTATCAAGTTTAGCCATGAGATTGTTATTCGAGAACTAATGAAGGATTTTATACATTTGCCCGATGAGGACTGTAATATGATTGTTCCTTACTTAGCCATTGAATTACTTCACAAAGTTTTCGTGATCTTTGGAATTATTATTTGTTCATTGTTTTTGAAAGAGATTATTAATTTGTAAATATAAATATGTAGACAAAAAAAAAAAGAGAAGAATTTAGACAAGCAATGTGATGACTAATAAGGTTTATAAGAATAAATTTACTATTGTACTGTATAGAGTTGTTGAACTTCCTTAGTCTATATGGGGTGTACTTATCTAACTGACCAAACAACATTTTTTGGGTCAAATTGTCAGCATGTTGTCTTGATTTGTATCCAAATACTATTTGTCAAGTAAACGGATTCAAATTATTATTAGATACGTGTATCGAATACCTTCTATCACATGCTAATAAAAGGATTAGATTGGCGTTGAAGTGCAATCTATTCAGACCGAAACCCAACATGTGCTATGGTTAGGACGCCTTATGCCCATAGACTGAGAGCTTCCCTGATCAAATCATGGTTTTCGAAGTGCATTCAATTGTCATTCTTGCATAGCATTAACATGAGCTATTACATCACATTGTCCCCCAACAACAAAGTCATAGACAAACTTTCATCAACCTTGCTTCGTCCAGCAAGGTTGCACAAACTTGCCAAACGATAGCTACGACGAGACAACAATAAGTTCCAGTGCTGTTTTAGGAATAAGTGACCCACAGCATATATGATACGAACCTGTAGGAAATTGCCCCTTTGGTCCCTTTGCTAGAAATGGAATCATGGTCTGCCTCACTGATCCAAGCTCCATTTGGTTGTCTCATTTTTCCAATCATGATCCTACCCCGAAGAATGTGAACCTGTAGGAAATTGCCCTTTTCGGCCCCTTGAAATTGATTGCACAAATGCACACTCACAAGTTCTTACCCAAGTGAGTTATCGGCCGGGCCTGGCTTCCGATAACGGTAGGCTATCCGCAACCCAACCCGTGAGCCTATTGCTTGCAGGCTTTTTGATATACATCTTTATTTAAAAATAATGAATATTTTTGTAATTTAATATTTGTGTAAATTCTATTTTTGAATCAAAAGTAAAGTTAAAATGGATAAAAATAAAATAATGAACTACATCCAATAGAATGAATAAATCCTAATTAGGTTGACACCTACTAACTTATTTGTCATTTGTATTACTTTATCATTTAAAATTTATATGCTTAATACATGGAAAAGAAAATAATACATTATTTATAATATCTAAATTTTTAAGACTTCAAATTTTGATATTTGGAGACTTATTTTAAAGTTTCAAATTTAATGATCTAAAAATATAAATTTTTTTCAAAGGAAGGGTGGGGTGGGCTAGGCTCTTGGGCCGGGCTTTGGACCGGGTAATGGGTTTGGGGCAAACTCAAGCCCTCTTTTTAAGGATATTGGGCTCGAGCTCCGGCTCGGGCTTCGGCGGGCCAACTATCGGATTTATTGGGCTTCCGACTTATTTTTTTTTCTGACCGGGTAACAGGACCCGTGGGTAACCTGGCCCATGGACACCACTAAAAAGAATAAAGGAAGAAAAAGTGGAAAGAATAATGTTTCCATCCTTGAAGGAAAGAAAGTTATTTTCCTTTTTTTTTGTTTGGTACGAGGGACGGAAAGTAAGAGGGATATATTTTCTATTGTTTGGTATTAAATGAAAAATGAAAAGAAAAGAAAAACATATATGCCAAATTTACAATTCTACCCTTAAATATGTTTTTTCACTCCAATAAGTAAAAGGTAAAAATGTCAACTTAAAAAATTATTATCTTGCCTTCACTTTTTCCTCCACTTTCTGCCCAAATTTGGGCTGAAAATATTTGGTAGGCCNATGATCCTACCCCGAAGAATGTGAACCTGTAGGAAATTGCCCTTTTCGGCCCCTTGAAATTGATTGCACAAATGCACACTCACAAGTTCTTACCCAAGTGAGTTATCGGCCGGGCCTGGCTTCCGATAACGGTAGGCTATCCGCAACCCAACCCGTGAGCCTATTGCTTGCAGGCTTTTTGATATACATCTTTATTTAAAAATAATGAATATTTTTGTAATTTAATATTTGTGTAAATTCTATTTTTGAATCAAAAGTAAAGTTAAAATGGATAAAAATAAAATAATGAACTACATCCAATAGAATGAATAAATCCTAATTAGGTTGACACCTACTAACTTATCTGTCATTTGTATTACTTTATCATTTAAAATTTATATGCTTAATACATGGAAAAGAAAATAATACATTATTTATAATATCTAAATTTTTAAGACTTCAAATTTTGATATTTGGAGACTTATTTTAAAGTTTCAAATTTAATGATCTAAAAATATAAATTTTTTTCAAAGGAAGGGTGGGGTGGGCTAGGCTCTTGGGTCGGGCTTTGGACCGGGTAATGGGTTTGGGGCAAACTCAAGCCCTCTTTTTAAGGATATTGGGCTCGAGCTCCGGCTTGGGCTTCGGCGGGCCAACTATCGGATTTATTGGGCTTCCGACTTATTTTTTTTTCTGACCGGGTAACAGGACCCGTGGGTAACCTGGCCCATGGACACCACTAAAAAGAATAAAGGAAGGAAAAGTGGAAAGAATAATGTTTTCATCCTTGAAGGAAAGAAAGTTATTTTCCTTTTTTTTTGTTTGGTACGAGGGACGGAAAGTAAGAGGGATATATTTTCTATTGTTTGGTATTAAATGAAAAATGAAAAGAAAAGAAAAACATATATGCCAAATTTACAATTCTACCCTTAAATATGTTTTTTCACTCCAATAAGTAAAAGGTAAAAATGTCAACTTAAAAAATTATTATCTTGCCTTCACTTTTTCCTCCACTTTCTGCCCAAATTTGGGCTGAAAATATTTGGTAGGCCGGAAGGATAGAGATCTCCTCCCACTTTTCACTCCCTCATAATTTCCTTTGGTACAAAACAATGAAAACATTTTTCTTCCCTTCCATTTTTCCTCTCTCACTTTCCTTCCACCCATTTTTTCACCATACCAAACACACTATAATGCTCTGCTTAATAGAGAGGATGGAAAGTAGGAAGGATAGAAAGTAGGAGGGATACACTTTCTATCCTTCAAGGATGGAAAATAGGAATGATACAATTTCCTTCATTTGTGTTTGGTTGGATGGGTGAAAAATAAAAATGACTATTTTTTTTTTTGTGCTGGCTAAGATTAGGAGTGACAATCAAGTCATGTCGTGNATTTGGAGACTTATTTTAAAGTTTCAAATTTAATGATCTAAAAATATAAATTTTTTTTCAAAGGAAGGGTGGGGTGGGCTAGGCTCTTGGGTCGGGCTTTGGACCGGGTAATGGGTTTGGGGCAAACTCAAGCCCTCTTTTTAAGGATATTGGGCTCGAGCTCCGGCTCGGGCTTCGGCGGGCCAACTATCGGATTTATTGGGCTTCCGACTTATTTTTTTTTCTGACCGGGTAACAGGACCCGTGGGTAACCTGGCCCATGGACACCACTAAAAAGAATAAAGGAAGGAAAAGTGGAAAGAATAATGTTTTCATCCTTGAAGGAAAGAAAGTTATTTTCCTTTTTTTTTGTTTGGTACGAGGGACGGAAAGTAAGAGGGATATATTTTCTATTGTTTGGTATTAAATGAAAAATGAAAAGAAAAGAAAAACATATATGCCAAATTTACAATTCTACCCTTAAATATGTTTTTTCACTCCAATAAGTAAAAGGTAAAAATGTCAACTTAAAAAATTATTATCTTGCCTTCACTTTTTCCTCCACTTTCTGCCCAAATTTGGGCTGAAAATATTTGGTAGGCCGGAAGGATAGAGATCTCCTCCCACTTTTCACTCCCTCATAATTTCCTTTGGTACAAAACAATGAAAACATTTTTCTTCCCTTCCATTTTTCCTCTCTCACTTTCCTTCCACCCATTTTTTCACCATACCAAACACACTATAATGCTCTGCTTAATAGAGAGGATGGAAAGTAGGAAGGATAGAAAGTAGGAGGGATACACTTTCTATCCTTCAAGGATGGAAAATAGGAATGATACAATTTCCTTCATTTGTGTTTGGTTGGATGGGTGAAAAATAAAAATGACTATTTTTTTTTTTGTGCTGGCTAAGATTAGGAGTGACAATCAAGTCATGTCGTGTTATATTCGTGTTGAGTTATTACGAGTTTGTGTCGAATATTAGTCAAACTTAACTTAACTCATTTAACTAATTGTGTTGTGTCGAGTTATGAGTTGACCAATTTATTTTCGTATTAAGTTTGAGTCATGTCATTGTGTTGAGTCAAAAATTTTCACCCTTAGTATTTTTATATGAAATTAATATATACATAATATATGTATATATAAAAAGATATATAGACAAATAAGATACATCTCAACACAAATAATTAACAATCTATCCACTTTCTTTCTGATTTTGGAGGGATTGATTTTGGTGAGTTGGAAGGAAAGTTAATCCATTCACTTTTTCATCCCTCATATTTTCCTTCTTTACCAAACAAGATGTTTTATTTATCCCTTCAACTTTTCATCTTTCCAATTTTTTATTCTCCTACTTTTCTATCGTACAAAACGGAGCATAATGGTTCTCTTTGATCTAATAGTTGCCCCCACTATTAGGGGCGGAGCCAGACTTTTTAAGGAGTGGGGCAGCCTAAAAATCAATAGTAATTTGAAATCATAATATTTAACATTATTTTTGCAAAACATATTTATTTATAATAATTTGTTGTAAGTATAATTTCATTAGATGCGCAATCCATATAGACGAGTAATGTCCAATAAGGGTGTCATCAATAAATGTTGATTAGCTATGTAGACTGAAATCTAAAGGGGGAATGGGGTTCAAAAATATTGAAGCTTTTAATCAAGCTCTTCTTGCCAAGCAATTCTGGAGATTGTTCCATAATCCCTGCTCATTGGTCAGCCGAGTTTTTAAAGCAAAGTATTTTCCTAATTCTTCTATTTTGGATGCTCATTTGGAAAACAATCCATCTTTTACTATTAGTTGCCATATTCCAAAAGACATACCACAACAAAACAAAACAAAACAAAGTGCAAAATTTAGGGGAGAAGAGAAGTCAAGAAACTGATAACCACAGACAGTAACAGATCTAAATCAATTAAACTAAAACACAACATCGAGCTCATGATCTGCAGCAAAATTAGAGTAAAAAAAACTAGATTTACTAAAAGAGATTATTAAATAGACAGCAGCGAACTCCTATTTAATTGCTAGCGAAGAATTTTGAATCTTTGAATCCTCCCATCCCGTCCCGTCCCTCACGCCCCGCCCTTATGATACCCCATACTAGTAGCACTTAAATAATCGAGAGATAGAAAGCAAAATTCTATATCTAGATCTTGATTCAAAAGTTATGGAGGTCCAACATTATGTTTTTCTTTTGGTTTACTGATTTACTCTTTATAAAATCATTGCCGACTTAAATATCATCTCTAATATCTTTTTCCTTTGAATGATGATGGTGGTGTTATCATCGCTCTTACCTTTTCACTAATAGCTGTTTTGAATGATGATGGTGGGATTCATGAAATATTTTTATTCTGTATTTTCTACAACCACAAGAGTATTCATGTAATTTAAAAGTTTTATTTTTTTTTATAATTTTTCTCATACTAATAAAAAATTTATATTTTTTACGTTTCCCTCCCTCCTACCCAAACAAGAAAGAGAAAAAATATATTTCCTTCGTCAAAGGATTAAAAATGCAGCCCTCCTCTTTTTTCATCCCTCTTATTTTTTATCTCTCCTACCAAACATATCATAAGGGCTCGTTTGGTTGCCGTATTAAAAATGAATGGATTAAATAGAGTAATACAATCTAATACAATACAGAAGGACAAAATACAAGATTAAATAAAGTATTAAAATAATACATAATGTTATATAGTGTTTGACAATAAACAATATAAACGTTGGATAGTAGTTATTTAATTCAATCGATTGTTTGGTTAAGAAATTATTTCATCGTATTAATGTTGAATTAATAAAAATATCCTGAATCAGTGTTTGTTACGTTGATGACAACTTGATTTTATCAGTTAGGGGGTTATAACAGTAAATGTGTAGAATAATACGTTTGACCTGGATTATAATACCACCTTTTTTTGTAGTATTAAAATATCTCTATAATACAGGTCTATCGTATAAAAAATATACGAATAAATATACGATTAATATATATATTTTTGAAATTAATACGACATTAAATTTGTTTACCAAACAAAGTATTAATCCTGATTAAATTAAAAAATAGTACAATCTAATATTTAATCCCCTCATAATACGTCTACCAAACGAATCCTAAGAGTCTATTCTCACAATCAAAACCTTTAAATGTAGTTCCCTATAAAGAAAATACCCACTCTATCAGTATGTAAGAAAAAAAGGGAAGTTTTTTCAAATATTATATAAATTTATATACTTCTTGATCATGGGATAAGAAATAATAATAAATTTACGTATTTTTCGCTTACAATAGTAATTAATTGATTTAATCATGACAGATCTGCACTATTCGTGTTTTATACTAAATAAAATCATTTACTATTCAAATTAATAAATTATGTCATTTTCATATTCATATTGTATTAAATTTATATTATATTACAATATCATTGTCAATACGAAAAGAGTAATACTATAGAGAGTTGAAAATTGACTCGAAAAGGTGTGGGAACTTTCACTTTGGATCCAGTTTGGCTGCTGGCTGGCTCGAAACTAATTGTAGTTGCCAACTTGCATTAAAGTACAATGCTTCAACATCTTTATTTACAGGTAAATTTATTGGGGAAATCTCATTTTACAATTTGAAAGATTTAAAAAAAAATTATTTTGTACTCTCAAAAATTAAATTTTTTTTACATTATATCTGAATGTATTAAAAATATTACAATGTGATTCTTTCGTTAGTTTCTATTGTTTATTCCGTCAAACAATCACACCATTAATTTTGACATAACAAATAACGAAAACTAACAGAAGAGTTATATTGTAATATTTTTAATACATTAAGAGTGTAATACGAAAAATATAATTTTTGACAATGCAAAATAATTTTTTTAAAACCTTGATAAACTTTATTTAAATTTGTGAACATTGCTGTAACACAAGCGGAAAAAAATATTGCCATGTCACCAAACTATACAGACTTTGATTAGGACTTGACAACGTATCAAATAAAAAAATTTGATACGGTACCTCTAAGATTTATTATTTTTGTGAGTATTTTTATAATTTTTATGAATATATTTTTACAACAAAAAAATTTACTGCTTTTAGAGTGATTTATCATTTTTGTATGTATTTTTATCATTTTTGTAAGTATTTTTTACCTCCGTTGTAAATATTTTTATCCATTTTGTTTATTATAAAAAAATTATCACTTTTGTGAATATTTTTATCATTATTATAATAATTATTTTTATTATTTTTTTTAGTACTATAACAAAAACAAAAAAATATTTATAATAATAATAAAAAATACTCATAAAAATAATAAATATTAATTCGATACCGAATTTTTTTTTTGGGACCGTAGACAACTCCTTTGGTAAGGTTGTGCGGACTGCGGAGTCTTCCAGAGGAAAAGGACAAACATAAAGACGAGTTGTTTCATTAGTCTGACAAACATTATCATACTCGTTCCTCTTTTGAAAAAACAACACTACTTTTAGGGTTAATTACAAAATACTCCCTCCAAGTTTGAATCATGTTGTAATCAACTCCCCCAAGTTTTAAATTCAACAATTTGCCCCTTAATATTAGAATATTTTTTAATTTGCTCCTCCGTTAATTGACACCGTTAAAAATGACAAAAATTTGATATAAAAATTATCTAAAATTGATCAAAAGTACAAAACTACCCATATCTCAATCTTTTGTTTTGAAAAAAATAAAATAAAATCTAATTCGATCCTAACTTGCATCGGCGAAATCCCAACTCCCTCCCTCTTTCGGTGAAACCCAGCCAGCCCCACCCACCATGCTCGAACAACTAAACTACTTCCCCTCTTTTGGTGAAACCCAACACCCTCCTTCCTCTGATTCATATATATATATATATATCCATGGTTGACTAGATCGATCCAATGGTTGCTGTGAAGTGGGGCTTGGGAGTTTGCTTGTGCTGGTACGGGAGAGGCTGGTGGAGATGGGTTTTGGAGTGCTACCAATGTTGGGTATAGGGTAGGAGACTGTCGAAGCAAAGAGGAGGGGTTGAAAGGCGCCACTGCTGGAATAGGGGAACGGGATTTAGGGGGCATCGCTGGAGCAGGGGGGTGGAGGTTGGGGGACTGCTGGAGCAAGAGATGGGGGTTAGGGGCACCACCACTAAAATAGGGGAAAGGGATTTGGGGACATCGGTGGAGTAAGAGGTGGGGGTTGGAGGAGCCACCGCTGGAGCAGGGGAAAGGAATTTTGTTGGGGGGGTATCACTGGAGCAGGGGTGGGGGACTTCCATAGCAAAGAGGTGGAGGTTGGGGATGCCGTCGAAGCACGGGAAAAAGAGTTGGAGGCCTCGTCGGAGTTTTGGGGAAATGGGTTGGTTTCATACAGGAGATAGAAAATAGAATTAGATGTTGGGGTATTTTAGGAATTTCGTATTTTTCATCCACTCTCTCAGTTAATTTAAATCTAAAAAACCTTTAAGGGGGCAAATTGTCGAATTTAAAACCTGAGAGAGTCAATTGTAACATGTCTCAAACTTGGAGGGTGCATTTTGTAATTAACCCTTTTTTTTTAATCTTTCACCGCATAGACTCTAGGACTTACTAATCAGTGTTGAAACCCATCCTTCACACACCAGCATTTACTGTTTCCTCTTGTTCCCACGTCCCACTCCATCTCCCAAAATCGAAAACAATGGCGATCATAGAAATTTTTATGGGTGCGTTTGTAACTGTACTGATGGAAAGATTGGCCTCTCGCGAGTTGATGAACTTTGCTCGCGGAGAGGGAATTCATACCCAGTTGATGAAATTGAAAAAAGTGTTCATGGCAGTTAAAGCAGTGCTCAACGATGCGGAGACTAAGCAAATAACAGAGGAATCTGTGAAATTGTGGCTGGAAGATCTCAGGGATCTGGTTTATGATTTGGACGATTTACTAGACGAGATAGCGACAGAAGCTTTGGCACATGAATTGAAGTTCGAGCCTGAAGCAGCTACCACTGGCAAGGTACGTAACTTCCTCCCTATTTGCTGTACTAATTTCCCTAGATCTATTGCACTCAAAATCAAGATTGGCCCCAAGATTGAGGAGATGACTGCTAGATTACAAGATATTGCAAAACTGAGGGATGATTTGGGTTTAAGAGTTAATCCAGAAGTAAGGTCAAACACAGAAAGGGAGAGATTGCCAACAACTTCCTTGGTCGATGAAACCCACGTTTATGGTCGAGAAAAGGAAAAACAAGAAATACTTGAATGGGTGCTCAAGGATGAAACATGTGTCATTCCAATAGTTGGTATGGGTGGTGTCGGTAAGACCACTCTTGCTCAACTTGTGTACAATGATGAGAAAGTCGAGGCTCTTTTTGATTTGAAAGCATGGGTGTGTGTTTCTGAAGACTTCACTGTAAGCAGGATAACCAAGATTATTCTTGAGGCAGTGAGCGAGAAAAGATGTGACTTCGAGCACTTAGACATGTTGCAAGTGAATCTCAAAAAGGAGCTTTCTAAAAAAAAGTTTCTTATTGTTTTGGATGATGTTTGGCACGAGAACTACGAAGATTGGGATCTCCTCCGTGCTCCTTTTCAAGTTGGGTTACTTGGGAGTAAAATTATTATTACAACTCGGCATGAACGTGTTGCACGTATCATGGGTTCTGTTCGTGCTTACCCTCTGAATGTTTTGGCAGAAGTCGATTGTTTGTCTTTGTTGGCTCGGCATGCATTGGGCAATACCAAATTTGATGACCATCCAAATTTGGAAGTAATTGGCAAGGAAATAGTCAGAAAGTGTGGACGTTTGCCTTTGGCAGCAAAGACACTAGGAGGCCTTCTGCATAATATACATAGCCCAAATGAGTGGAAAGCTGTATTGAATAGCAAAATCTGGGAATTATCCGAGCATCAGAGTGGCATCCTTCCAGCACTAAGATTAAGCTATCATCATCTCCCTTCTCACTTAAAGCAAATGTTTGCATATTGTGCTATATTTCCGAAAGACTATGAGTTTGACAAGGATGAGTTAGTTTTGTTATGGATGGCGGAAGGATTTTTGCAACAACCCACAGTGATTAAAAGCATGGAAGAGTTAGGCAGAGAATATTTTGATGAGTTATTATCAAGGTCATTCTTCCAACATTCAGGTGGCACGGAATCAAAATTTGTGATGCATGACCTTTTGAACGATCTAGCTCAATATGTTTCAGGACACATATGTTATCGGTTGGATGATAATATGGAGAGCAATGAGCTGTGTAAGATTTCTCAAAAAGCTCGCCACTTGTCATTCATTCGTCACGCATATGAAGTGTTCAAAAGATTCAAGGAATTTCATGAACTTCAGAGGTTGCGAACTTTCTTGCCGCTGCCACTTCATAAGTTAAGATATTGGAAGAAATTCTATTTAAGCAATAGCGTTTTGGTCAACCTACTGCCAAAATTATGGTGCTTAAGAGTCTTATCTTTGAGTGGGTATGAAATAAGTGAGCTACCCAATTCTATTGGAGATTTGAAACATCTTCGGTACCTTAATTTATCTCAAACATTGATTAAATGGTTGCCTGAATCAGTGAGTACTCTTTACAATTTACAGACATTATCTGTAAGAGGTTGTCGTGCCCTTTGTAAGTTGCCCACAAACATTGGAAATTTGGTGAACTTGCGCCATCTTGACATTCGAGATACTCCAAAATTAGAAGAGATGCCCTCAAGTATCAGTAGATTGAAATGCTTGCAAACATTTCCAAAAATTCTTCTTGGCAAAAATAGTGGATTTGGACTCGGAGATTTGAAAAGCCTAATGCTTCTGAGAGGGATACTTTCCATTTTTGGGTTACAAAATGTTATGAATGTGCGGGATGCAAAGGAGGCTAATTTATGTTGTAAGCAGAATCTTAATGAGTTGGAATTTAAATGGAATAGAGACATTGAAGATTCTCAAAATGAAGGGCTACAAGTTCGTGTACTTGACATGCTTCGGCCGCATGGAGAATTAAAAAGTCTTGAAATTGAGTTCTACAGGGGCATCACATTTCCTAGATGGATTGGGGATTCGGCATTCTCTAAAACAGTGTACATTAGTCTAAAAGGTTGTACAAAATGCAAGTCTTTACCACCACTTGGCAAACTACCCTTGCTCAAAGAACTGTACATAGAAGACATGCATTGTGTAAAAAGTGTGGGTTCGGAGTTCTATAGTGATGGAAGCACTTTGGAGATTCCATTTCCATCACTCGAGATTCTAGGGTTTGACCAAATGCCAGAATGGGAGGACTGGTCGTTTTCTTATGGCATTGATTTTAGAGGACATTTCCCTTGTCTTCGTAAGCTTGTCATACAAAATTGTCCTAAACTGTTGAGCGTTCCACTTTTAAGACTTCTCTCTCTTCGCATTTTAGAGATAAAAAATTGTGATGAGGCAGTGTTGAAAAGTTTTACTGAATTACCCTCATTAACCACATTGATCCTTACGAATATTTCTGGACTAACTCATCTGCAAACAGAGTTCATGAATGTGTTGGTGTCACTTGAAGTTCTTCAATTTTGGGATTGTGCAGCATTGGTGACTTTGTGGCAGAATGGGATTGCACCAAAAAACCTTTCCCATTTGCTTGTAGAATGTGAAAATCTGGAGAGGTTGCCTTGCGGCCTGAAAAACCTTACATCGCTCAAAGACATGGAAATCTATTATTGCCCAAAGCTTGTTTCTTTTCCAGAGGACAGTCTCCCGCCCATGCTTAGACATCTTTGCGTGCGAGATGCCGATTCCCTGGAGTCCATCCCAAATTGCAACACTCATCTTGAAGTGTTGAAGCTATGGAAATGCTCGTCTCTGAGATCCTTGCTAGTAGACACTCGTCTCTCCATGCTTAAGTCAGTTTCCATTGAGGATTGCGGGAATTTGGAGTGGGTTAAAGAGACGGTAGAACAGAGCATCATGTCAGGAAGCTTTGGGATCAGTAATTGGCCCAATTTGGAGAGTTTTATAGTACGCCTGGGGGAGTTTGAATATGAGTTGAAATATCGAATCGACCACTCACTCTCAGGAAGTGGTTTGCTCACTCCCAACCTACTAAGTCTTTACATCTCTGGGTTTGAAAATCCTTTTTCTTTTCCTAGCCAGAGTCAAAGCCTCACGTTCCTTGAATCACTCAGTATAGTTAATTGTAAAAGTCTTGAGTCCTTTCCTGACCAAAATTTGCCCCCCAACCTAGAAACCCTAGTTATCCGCAACTGCAGAGAACTTAAACCTCTATCAGACTGGGGCCTGCAAAGACTCTCCTCTCTTCGGCATTTCACCATGGAACATGTATATGCAGATCTACTTTCCTTTCCGGACTCGTGTTTTCTTCCTACAACTCTAAAATTCCTTTGTATTATTGGATTCTCGAATCTCGAGTCTCTCTCTGAGGGGCTCCAAAATCTTGCCTTTCTTGAGCATCTGAAAATCAGCAATTGCCCCAAGATTGAGTCTCTTTCTGAAGGGCTTGAAAACCTAACCTCTCTGGTGAATCTGCAAATCTACGATTGCCCTAAGGTTGAGTCTCTCTCTGGTGGGCTCCAGAAACTAACCTCTCTTGAAAGTCTGCATATGGAGAACTGCCCCGAGTTGGGTTCCTTGCTGAATGAAAGAGTACTTGACACACTTTCAATATTGGTCATAAGAAGATGCCCACTTCTTAAAGAACGGTACTCCAAGGAGAGTGGAGTAGATTGGCCCAAGATTGCTCACATCCCCTTCGTTCAGATTCTTTCTCGCAGGTTCCATTCACTTTACATATCTTTTCTTTTAATCTGCCTTCCTCTGTTTTCAATTTTTTTTTTTTTTAAATTGGGTTTAAGTCTATAAAGAGAAGAAGAGAAATTTACACTTAGCACCCCAACACTATGGCTCTAATCTCATATTCCCCCAATAACTGTTAACTTATGGATGAAAAATGACTAAACTGCATGGCCCTTTATTTCTCCCACCCTCCCCCACCTACTTTAAATTAGCTACACATTGCTGAAAAATTCACTGGCTTGTATGCATCTTCCTTCTGAAGCAAAACAAACCTTTGGTTTTAGGATTATGTGAAACCAATTCAAGTAATTAAAGGTTCAATGTGAAAAAAATCAAATAGTAGAAGAGGCAATGTAAAACTGGGGTCATAATTTGTAGGTGTAATCTATCCAATTGAAAGTAAACTAATACTCATTTTGATATGTGTTCACCTATCATTCAATATGCCCCTAAAGTTCCTTATTTTTGTTGTTGTTTTCAGCTTCTGAAGATGCCTGTTTTAAGGGGCAACTTTCTTCTGTGTCAATCGCAGATGAGTTTGGTTTGATTTGTGCTTGTTAAATATTTTCTTTCCACTTGTTCTCTCTCTTTATATTTTATGCTGTCCTGTATTATATTAATGTCTCAGAGTGCTCTAATTCCTGGTAATTATACAAGGGTGTGTAACTGCCAACTTGATTTTTTTTTCTTTTTGTTTTTTGGTGAGTTGCCAACTTGATGTTGTAAATGATTGGTATCATGTTTAGCTATGAGATTGTTATTTGAGAACTAATGAAGGATTTCTCACATTTACTCAATGGGGATTGTAATTTAACTGTTCCTTGTTTAGTTACTGAGTTACTTCACAAAGTTTTCATAATCTTTGGAACTATTATTTGTTTGTTGTCATTGAAAGTGATTATAACTGTGTAAGTAGGTAACTGTAGACAAAAAAATTATTGGAAGAGATTACAAATAAGAATTAGAGATGCAATGCCTAATGTGGCGTAGAAGAAATTTGTTGTTGTACTATATAGAGCTTCCCCAGTATATTATGGGGTGTACTTATCTAACTGACCAAACAAAATTTTCTGGGTCAAGTTGTCAGCATATTATCTTGATTTTTATCCAAATACTATTTGTCAAGATAATGAATTCATGAATTCAGATTATTGTTAGACACATTTATCGAAGATCTTCCATCAGATGCTAATATATGGATCAAATTGGCATTCAAGTGCAATCTATTCAAACCGAAACCCAACTTGTGCTATGGTAAACTAAGTACTAAATGAAATTTTATCGAGCCAAATGTAGCAATTTGTGACTGAATTAGGATGCCTATATGCACATAGGCTGAGAGCTTCCCTGATGAAATTATGGTTCTCGATGTGCATTCAATTGTCATTCTTGCATAGCATCAGCACAAGCTATTACATCACATTGTCCCCCAACAACATTGCCATCTGATGCAAGTTTGATTATCATAGACAAGTATAAAAACCATATGCTAATTGAGNAGCATCAGCACAAGCTATTACATCACATTGTCCCCCAACAACATTGCCATCTGATGCAAGTTTGATTATCATAGACAAGTATAAAAACCACATGCTAATTGAGGAGAAAGAGATGGAAGTTATTTTCCTATATGAGAATTGACAGTTTCCTGGTCATTCACAACATCAAAGCAAGTTATGAATACTTGTTGTCTCTCACTCTCTTTCTCCCAGTTCCTCGTACGTTTGTGTTATACATTTATTTACACCTAAAAGTCTATCATGAAACCTGACTTTTCATGAAGGAGAGCCCATTAATATTTAAAGCAATGGCCTCAATTGCAATTCAACAAAGACCAATTGTAACATTCACATCAGAATTGCACTTATTTACTTAGAGGGAATATAAGCAAAATAAAGAATCGCTGAAGTTTTTTGTCCAACAATCCATATAAGAAACCATACCAAAGAAACTTTTGGAAATTCATTGAAGTACTTAGACATGAAAGCATTACAGATAGGGGTGATGCAAAGCTTACCAATTCATTTTGCCTGCTTGGCTCCCTTGCTCCAGATTCGAAACTTCATCATTAAAAATCTCAATACTATCAGTTCTTTTATATTCTCCTTTCAGTTTTGATTGTAGCATGTAAAAACATGGGTAAGAATCATAAACACCCGAGAGAGAGAGAGAGAGAGAGAATGGAACCCAAATAAATAAAATTTGACACTCGGTCTTAGTGTTTCAAATCAAATTGGATGAATTAGAAGCATCAGCCATCACTATTACAACCTAAATAAATAAAATGTGACACTTCCGCAAAATTCGATTATTCTCCAAATCCTATAGAGATAATTTCATCGTAGAGTGTCAAACAGAGGAGTTTTTGAAAGAGAGAATGGAAAAAGAAGAGGTTGACCGTCCTTTGGATTGAACCTTGTTAAATCTTTTGGGACAACTTTCTTTCTTTGAAGTTACCAAAAAAAAAAAAAATTCCAAAATTTTTGGGGTCTTTTTGAAATTTAAAAAAATCTTAAAGGTTTTTCAAACCTTGACCCCTCAAAAATTTGTGAAAAACCTGGGTATAGTTTCATATTTTTAAAATTAAATGGAATTATTTTATAAATTTAAAATTTAAATCTCTTGACATATTGGATTTTAACTTGAATTCAATTTATGAGAGAATTCGATTAGTTAACTATGAATTAATAACTTTAACTGATTATCTAAGTTCAAAACAATTATGTTCTATTTAATGAATTTAAATTTGATTGTGATATACTCCGATTTATTACATTCATATATGTGGATATATGATGAAATTCAGTATTATTTGACACAATCGAATCGAACTAAAATATAATTTAATAAAATTCAACTCTAAATAACTCATATATCTGCTCGAATATTTCATATTTACTTTATTTGGATGTTAAATAAATAATTGTTGAATATTCATATTCAAATTTGGATCTCTTGAAAATCGATCTGAATTTTATGTGATTGTTATGTGAAAAATTGATCCGAATTAGCAAAAAAAATTGATAATTATTCTGTGATTATTCCCTTCAAACTATTAGTTACCCCAACTATTGGACAACCCTGGCTTCGCCCTGACCTTGGTGTTCTAGTTTGTGTCCATTTGTTGAACAAAAATATATATAGTGTATCTTGTCTATTACTCATATGAATCATTCTGTCCAATCCAAGCATCGTCTTTTACTTCGACTCGATCTACCTTTGTTTCAGTCTCTTTCTCCGCTTCAATCTCGATTTGTAAACAGAGGCGGAGCTACATGAGGACCATGGAGGCACATGCCCACCCTCGATTTGTTTTTAAAAAATATTACTTATGTATATTTCAAATAATTTGAAGTATATTTAAGTGTATCCACTCTATTATTTTTTGTTCTATCAATTAGTATAATCTCCGTACCTAAATAATTATAAATTTTTTGACACACTTTGGATACTTTAGGGATACATCTATATAAGTTTTTGACATATCGAACTCAATTTTTTTAAGCTATAGAGATTTCAATTAAAAAAAAAAGCTATAAAGATTATGGCAACTAGGTTACTTAATTAAATGAGTGATCAATGACTAATAGTTTGATCATATAGACGGAGAAATATTATAGTATCTTTTATGCAGTTTTGTTTCATTTGTTATGAAGAAATATAATTAGCCTCTCTCTTTTATTTGTTTTTATTTATATATGTTATATTTATCAAAGTTTCACCCTTTTTATATTTTATAAATTTTTAAGTATCGAATACAATATAGTAAATTAAAATATATTATTTTATTTTTATTGATTAGAAGAAGAAAAATTAATTTTTTTTTAATAAAGTGTTTACCCCAGACATAATTTCTCGTTCTACCCCCGTTTGTAAACGTGTTCACATATTAGGAATTAATCAAAATTTTAGGCAGCAAAAAGGCACAGAGAATAATGGACACTATCACGAGTATGGTGCGATACACTCGAGGAACATTCTGATAAGAAATCATCACGTGCACCTCATGGCCCGTGAACTATACCTAATCTCTTATTCACCTAATGTGCAGGTAAGGATTTCTGTCGGACTTAACAATAAATTTAGGCAAAATAGCCAAATTGAGTTAGATTTTATGATTTAGAGATTAAAATTGACATAAAATATAATTTAGAGGCTTGATTGACACAAAAACGTATACTTCATTGGTCAAACAAATAGTTAACTTAACTCTAATATAATTCTAAGGAAAAATATCAGTCACACCCCCTTCTAACTTACTATATTTTTAAAAATAATCCCTCTATTTTCTAAATATTCAGTGATACCCCTGTCAAATAAAGGTGTCAACTAAAATACAATGTTATTAAATTGTCTACGATATATTTTAGGAAAAATTTCATTCACACATCCTCTATATAGACATATCTTCGATGAGACCTTCTCTTGTTTCTAAATTTTTTTATGTATTAAAATTTGAGCTGATTAAAATTTAATTGGAACTAATGAAAATTCATTTTTTATGTATTAAATTTTTTATGATCACATTTACGTATTAAAATTCGAATTGATTAAAAATTATATTTTTTTTATGTATTCAAATTTTAGCCAATTAAAATTCTAATACATAATAAATGAATTTTAATAAACATAAATTAAATTTTAATTGGCACAAATTTTAATAATTCAAAAATAATAAATTTTAATTAACTCGAATTGAATTTTAATCGGCATTAACAACTTAGGTTGAGCAAAAATCGGCTCAAATTTTAAAGGATAAAAAAAAATGTAAGTTGCTCAAATCAATTTTTAATTGGCTCAAATTATAATATGTATAAAAATGAATTTTAATTAACTCAAATTTTAATATGTAGAAAAAAAATTTTAATCAACTAAAATTTAATTAAAATTTTATGTAAAAATATTGTTTGGGACTTATATAGGGACAATTTTAGTATGTTAGATGAATTTTTTTTTTGTTAGAAATTGTGGTTTAACGACAAGGAGTCCCAATGATATTTAAATACTAAAGATAACTCGTGTCTCAAGANTCGATTTGTTTTTAAAAAATATTACTTATGTATATTTCAAATAATTTGAAGTATATTTAAGTGTATCCACTCTATTATTTTTTGTTCTATCAATTAGTATAATCTCCGTACCTAAATAATTATAAATTTTTTGACACACTTTGGATACTTTAGGGATACATCTATATAAGTTTTTGACATATCGAACTCAATTTTTTTAAGCTATAGAGATTTCAATTAAAAAAAAAAGCTATAAAGATTATGGCAACTAGGTTACTTAATTAAATGAGTGATCAATGACTAATAGTTTGATCATATAGACGGAGAAATATTATAGTATCTTTTATGCAGTTTTGTTTCATTTGTTATGAAGAAATATAATTAGCCTCTCTCTTTTATTTGTTTTTATTTATATATGTTATATTTATCAAAGTTTCACCCTTTTTATATTTTATAAATTTTTAAGTATCGAATACAATATAGTAAATTAAAATATATTATTTTATTTTTATTGATTAGAAGAAGAAAAATTAATTTTTTTTTAATAAAGTGTTTACCCCAGACATAATTTCTCGTTCTACCCCCGTTTGTAAACGTGTTCACATATTAGGAATTAATCAAAATTTTAGGCAGCAAAAAGGCACAGAGAATAATGGACACTATCACGAGTATGGTGCGATACACTCGAGGAACATTCTGATAAGAAATCATCACGTGCACCTCATGGCCCGTGAACTATACCTAATCTCTTATTCACCTAATGTGCAGGTAAGGATTTCTGTCGGACTTAACA